GCCTCTACTGTCAGTGGAAAAGTATTGGGGTTCATTGCAATAACGAATTCCCTTATTGAGGGCTTTAGACCCTAAATAAATCTTTCTATTTTCCTTGATTCGGTTGAAACATAATGATCAGCAAAACGAGAGTATTCAATAAATTTTTCAGTATACTCTCGTACTGTTCTATTCCCTTGTTCCAGCTTCAAGAAATCTTCCTCCATTTGTCTCACAGCCGTTTTAGGACAGAACTGATTTTTAAATCATTCCACGAATTCTATCCATGATATAGTCTGTAAGACATCCGTTCTGGTAGACGATTCTACTTCCCACCAGAATAAGGCATTTGACTTCAATACTGATATAGCAAATCGTACTTTATCTGTTTCTGGGCACCGAATGGTGTTGAACACATATTCCATCTCCTTAATCCAACACATTGCTTTCACCGGATCTCTTTCTCCAGAAAAAGTTGGTGGTTTACACGTTAAGAATGTCTTAATATCTCATTCTTTATTATGAGTGATTGGAGCAGATGGATAAACCTCTACTTTTTCTGTTTCCACTCTAGCAGGTATCCTCATAATAGATATCAAAGTTTCTCGTAATTTCCCCATTTCTTCTGCTAACACATCTCTGGTTATATATTCTAGGTGTGGTACCGCTCCTCCCTGAGCATTCCCAGAGTGTGATCCTTCCTGCTCAGAATGTATTTCAGTTCGTCCCCTTCCCTGAGACTGACTCCTCCCTCTACCTCGCCCCCTTGGTCTTCCTCAACCTCTATTTCCAACCGTACTAACTGGAAAATTAACCAAAGATTCCTCCCTTTCTTCAGATTCTGGACGAGCTATTCTTTCAGACCTTCTGGTTTGGTTAGACATCTGCAGAGTTTTAATATTAATATTCACATATTCACATTCCCAAATATAATGAAGTATTCAAGTTCAGATATGTACCTGTAAATTTATAATTACACTGGTCAGATGTAATTAAAATTCACCTTACACGCTGTTCTTTCAACTTATCATATTTATATCCAATGGTGCTAACTATGTCCGGGACCCTTAACATGCAATAAAACAGTTTAAGTCTAGGTATCATGCTTCTTAAAATACCTAAATCCCTTAAACTCAGGCTCTGATACCATTCTGTAACGCCCCAACCCACACATTGCATGTAATACAAATATTTCGTATCAAAGAAATACATATTCATACTCATCTGGTCCCATAGTACAAGAAACTATCATGACCAAATACAAGGTCCAAAAATTCAAAATACAATCTTGTACTAATCATCAAAACTGTGCATCAAAA